AAGTGTTTGAAACCTATTCACAGGAAGTTAAACCACTGAGAGTTCAGTCAATGTGAACCCTTCAGGAGTCACTAAAACAGGGGTGGGCAAGATGCGGCCTGCCAGGCCATTCTATCCAGCCCGCAGGGCCCCTAAAAAAAGTTAGAAAATTAATATTTATCTGCCACTAGCTGCCTATCATGCGGCCCTCGATGACTTGCCAAAACTCAGTAAGTGGCTCTCCACTCAAAATAATTGCCGACCCCTGCACTAAAATATGTCAAACACCAGGTTATGTCATCTGTAGAAGTGGATTCTAAGCCCTGGCAGGGGCTGCACACCAAGTTTCTAGAAATTAATGAGCAAATGGACTTCTACAGATATGACACTTATTCTACATGGCCAGAAGCAGACCACATAACATATTCTTCTACTGATGAGATAGCAAACAGTCCCACAGTGTCCCAGCAATCTCTGGCTTGCCTAAAACAGTGGCTCCCAAATGTTCTCAATCAATGGACCACTGTCATCCCTCAAATTTTTTACGGACAAGCTTTTAATTGAAAACAACATATATAAATGACAGAGAGATGCTAGCCATGTTAGTCTGAAGTTATGTAGGGCAGGGTGGCACCTTACCAGACTAACTTATTGGGAGAGGCAGGAGCTTTCGTCCTACTTGGTCAGATGCTATGAATGGACTTGCAAACAGCAGAGACACTAAATAGAGAGGAATAAGTAATTTAAAACACACAGATTAGGGAAAGGGGGGTGGGGAGAAGAGGATGGTGCTGAGAGAGGCAACAGTGAGATAAACAGAGCAGTTAACCCACTGAGGGACACAGAGGTTATGAAAGCTGAGGGCAGAAAGCCCAACAGAAGAGGTAGTGCTCTAGGGAGAAGAAAAACTATTTTATCCACTTGCTGTGGCTGGGGAGGAGAATGGCCCTGCGATCTCAACCAAAGAGTGCATGTCCTGAAATGAAGGAGAATGGCCCTAAGATCTCAACCAAAGAGTGCATGTCCTGAAATGGGCTCACATTTGTCTTGCCACCATCTGAACAGGAGTGGTCCAATAAAGCCTTATGTCCCCTTTCCCATACCCTCCAGATGCTGAAGACAGTTTCCTCTCTCCCCTGCAACCTCACGGAGCCATGAGTCTTCTTCCTGATACTCTATCCTGTCCCTCATTCCTCCTTGCTGTGAGAGGGAAGTCTCAGCTTTTTCTAGCCTTTTTTTTTTTTTAAGCACTCTCCCATGTCAGGAAAGTGGAACATGAAGATAAGGGTAACAATCCAGTTAACTTTATATCTAATTTGACATTTATGAATAATCTATGGATGTAAGTATGTAAGTGTGCAATCCCCAATATGTTTGGCCATCGTAGGTTGGCAGTTTTCCTGTAGGTATCCAGGTAGAAGTCAGCCGAGGAGGGATCTGAAGGAAGGCAAGATAATGTTTTCTCACTGCCAGTCTATACTTCCCTTGGGTATGGTATAGACATAACACAGGGTAAAGTCACAGAAGTGGAAAAGCAAGTGGTCAAGCTGTCCTTGTTGGGAGAGCAAGAGGACAGTGCAATCCAAGACATGGGCAGACAAGAAGGGAGATGCCAAAATACAAAAGGCGTTAAAGCAAGGATAAGCAATTGGAATTTAATGGGGTGGCTAAGGGGGGGGGAACTAGACTGGGGGGAAACGATCATGTAGAGAACAATTATCCAGGAGGATAGCCTTAGCAACTGTGTTTAAATGGACTGGAGGGGTGACATGATTGTCAAGGGGGGTAGTCAGGAGGCTGTTGTAGCAGTCAAAGTGGAAGAGAGTGCTAGCTTGGACAGGGATTTTAGCTGCATGGAGAAAGGGTTGAATTTAGAGAAGCTAAAGAAGAAGCAGCAGGGTATAAACAAAGTGTCTATGTCTGGCACAAAACAGTCAGTGAACACCCAGGCTGTGGGTTTGGAAGATTAGGAGTAGATGTGGTGTTACCACAGAGATGAAGAAAGGGTGGGGGAATTAATTGATGGGGAAGGTTGTTCAGAGGGACTTTACAGAATTCCATTTTGGCTGTGATAAACTTAAGCTGTCAGCAAGTCATTTAAGGGAACATACCAAAAAGAGATGCCAAGATGCAAGACTGAGGAGAGAAGTTTGAGAATCACTAGCATTAAGATGGTAGTGAAGCCAAGTGAATAGATGAGTTAATCCAAAGAGAGTGAGTGGGCTGAAGCAGGAGCTGTGAGAGACCTGTACAGTAATGGACAATGAACAAGTGACCAAAGCAAAAGGACAGAACTAGGGCACGGTATAGCCACAAGTCAAGAGAGAACAAAATTTCAAGAATCAAGCATCAGAAACACCAAGAAGCCACGAAAAAAAGATAGCACAGAGACCTTAAGATCTGGCTGAGAAAGGGTTATAAGAGACCTTAAGAGACGTTTCATGAGATCCAGGATATCTGCGCTTAAGCCAAGGCAAAAAGCAGTTCTAGGCTGAGGACTAGGTAATGCACTTTTCACCGCAAAGGGGGAAAAAAAAAAGGTTTGCACTCTATTTGCTTCTCCTTGAAGGCCTGAAAGGTTTTTTGTTTAATTTCCCAAGGTTGTTCCTTCTGTTCAGTACCTTAGATACACTGGGAATAATAAATCCAGCTCTTTATATATAGCACTTTCCATCCTTGTACATCCACTTTCAATCCTTGTACATCCAAACAATTTACAAAGGATCAGTACCATTACCACCTTCAGAAAGGTGGACTAAGGCACAGGACAGTGAAGTGATTTGTCCCACATCACCCACGTCTCCTTTGCAGTGGGCTCCCCCCCGTGTTTTTGTTAGACATCCAAGGACATGGAAGGCATTTTTAAAGAAGTTATTTAAACTCTGCTTACTTTGCCATCCTTAAAAAAAACTATGAGGAGAAAGCAGGATTTGGAATTATTATTTATTTTTTTTGTTTAACAGCAGTTCAGAAGAAAAACTATTGTGAAAAATTCAACATT